CACTCCTCGGAAGGAAGATGGGGCAATCTACTTCGGCAGTGATACTGCCTTGGAAACCCAAGGAGGGGTCGCTATGAGTTGGGTCTGACTCGACGGCACATAACAACAACAACAACAACAAAGTGTTTGTTGAGTTTTATGATTTATGGACTTAAATTTTTCATCAAATTTGACAACTTTCCAGCCATGACTACCTCAACTGTTTTTCTGTCTCCCTCCTAGTTTTCTGGGATTCCAATTCTAACACGTAAGTTAGACTACCTGATATTGTCCAGTAAGTCAGTATCTAGTTTTTGTTTTAGTTTTCTGGCTGCCAACAGACCTTTGCAGCACTTACCTTTTTCTGGGGAGCTCAAGGGCGGGCCCTGCTCTTCTATCTTTCTGAGAGCTAGAGCATCAGGGAGATTGAGGATCTCAGCCTTGCTGCTGCTCACACCCATAAAAGGCCTGGCTGTGGGACAGATATGCAAGCCTACTTAAAGCCATGTAATCTAACTGTCTTCCACTCATCTGAAGCATGGGTCTCAGACACCCTCTGCAGCATCACTGTCAGCCCTGTGAAAGGCTGAAAATCACATTAGCAGTAACAGTCATCATATAAAAATTGACGGGTGAATTATTTTCACTAAAGAAAACAAACTCTGAAGGCATCTACGCTATCTTCATCCTTCTACATGAGAAAAGGGAGTCTTGAGTCAGCACCAGAAATTCCTGATGGAAAGGCCAGGCATAAGTGTCATGCATCACTGAGAGGGAGAAAAGGTGCAGAATCACTACCCTGTGCTCTCAGTAAACTTTCAGAGCTGTGTCCTGGGCCTCATCTCACTGGCCACCTTCAAGGGCTGCTTTTGTGGGATTCTGCTTTGACCAGATGCCCTTATGAAAAGGATTGTGAGGAATAGCCCGGGAAACCTGCAGACAGGCTGGCCCCATGTCCTCCCTTTCTCAAGAGGGCCATCCCTCCATAGGGTTTCTATTTTAGAGAATCTGAATCAGATTTTCTCTTCAGCTACCTCCTAGAAAGCTGAGCACTAAACCTGTAGCCCACCAATAGAAAATCAGAGACCCTCCTGCATATATTTTGTGTGAACTTCCTTCCCAGTCCCACTTGACTTTCTTCCTCTTATTTGTCTCATTTTTCTAATCTTAATTCCTTCTTGAAACAAGTGAGTTATAAATAAAAATTTATACTAAGGTGGAGGAAATGAAAATAAAGTAAGCTGGCCAATTAACCTATAATTATAATTTGAATAGCATATAGTATAGATATATGTACTGTCTAAACAAAATTTAAAGGTGCTGTGGTGAAAAAGTGGATAAGGCAGTAGGCTGCTAACCAGAAAGTCAGTGGGTTCAAATCCACCAGCTGCTCCACAGAAGAAAGATGGGGCAATCTACTTATGTAAAGATTTACAGCCTTGGAAACCTAATGGGGGTTGCTATGAGTTGGAATCAACTCGATGGCAGTGGGAAACAAAATTTAAGCCTATGTTGCAATCCAGTTACATTCCAGTAAGGAAAAGCATTGTTTCCTCAGAAATAAGTTTTATTGAAAAGTAAACATATTTCCAGTTAGAGAATTCCTCAACAGAAAGGGTCTGAAGTATGCATAATGGTGAGCACAGAAAGATAAGACAGTTCCAAAGAACACTTCCAGCATCTATTCAAAATCTTTTCTTGATAACCAATAATTTTAATTCAAGGATCTTTAATTAAAGATTTTACACCCGGGGAACAAAATTCAATTTTTTACCATGCAAATGTTTTCCCCTAAAATAACTGGAGACACTTCTGCTTATCCTCCTGCTCCCTGACATTGAGGCCAAGGAACTGGCATATGGACAATAGATGAATAGTGACACAAAGTCTCAAAAAACCCCCCATCATGACTGTTCCCAGGATAAAATAGAAAAGCACAGTATGCTTCCACATAAGGGAACCAAATGTCCATTTATTAAGGTAGCTAGCTGGTCAAGGCAGTGATTTTGATAACATTTTATTTGCAGTCTCAGTTCAAAAATGAATTTAATTTCTTTTTTGGAAAATGTTTTGTACAGTGAAGTGGTCATCGCTGAGAGCTCCCCAGGGGTAGCCAGTGCTGCTGTGGGCAAACCGATGGCCGCTGCTACAGCTGAGGTAGCCTGGGCAAAAGAGGAGATGCAAGTGCAACCTGACAGGCTTCAAAGGTTCCAACATAATCCCTTCTGCCAAAACCAAGCCTAGTTTCAAAATATCTAAGAAGTGTACACATTCTCCAGGTACCTGCTGTGTGGAGCTGACAGCCATCTGTGCACATAGTCTGAGCCACAAGTTCAAGGAGGGGTCAGCAAAGGCAGAACAGGAAGATGGGGCAGTAGAGGGGCAGCCTGAGCAAATGCCTGAGGCAGGCAAGCACCAGGCCTGAAGACAGCACTCAAGAAGGTCCAGGGAGGCTAGGGACACAGAAGGCCAAAGAACAAACAGCTGGGGAAGGCACTAGACCCCTGCTGGGGCAGAGGGGTAGGTGGTAGGTCCCAGTAGGGAATGATGGGATGTGGGGGGACATACAGATATGCTGGGAGGTCAGGGGCTGGTACAGACTGGGGTTGGTGAGAGAAGAGAGTCTGCTGACTGGGGAGTGTGTAGGAGCACCCAGATGGATGAGCAGTGGGTGACACTAGACCCAGGTCTCATGGTAGCTCCTCATAGCCCCAACCAGCTAAGCACTAGTGTTTGAGCCTACTTGCCTGCTTGGGTCAGGAGCAAAGCCAGGAACCCAGACAAGTGCAGAAACCAGAGGGACTCAAAGGTTCTCCCCACAAGACATCTCCCTGGACATCAAACCTCATCTCACCTGGAGCACACACATGGTATGTGTTGGGGTACAGTAGGGCCAGGCACTTGCCTGGGTCAGAGGAGGGTGTCATGCCATGCCCTGCCTGGCCAGGGTTGGGAGAGACAGGCTAGGAGGGCTTGGCTATCCTGGATGCAGCAATGTCCCATGGTGTCACCACAGCTGCCACAGCCACTACACTATCCTTATTCAGACTGGTCTCTGGACACATTTCTGCCTCAATATGAGCACTGCTTAACCTGGAAGTTGTGGTGCTATGGGCCCCAAAAACCTGACAAGCTGCATCATGGGAGGAGCACTGCCCCAGTTCCCCTGCACAGCACAGGGCTTCAGTGAGTCCAGGCCCCCTTTCCTCATTGGGTCTGGGTGGCCTCGGTCAATAGAGGTCCCACCCCCCACAGGGCTTCTGAGGCAGGGGCACAAGAGACATAATGGGTACGCTGCCCTCATAGAAATGGCCTACAGGACTCTCTGCCCACCAGATAGAAGGTGCACAGGACACAAAGAGGGATACAGGACACAAGAAGCTTCAAGTGACAGCCTGATGCCAGGGAAGGAAGGACCAGGCACAACTGCCCTCTCCCAAAATGCTCTACCCCACAACAAGGATGTTGCCACACTAACCAGCCCGGTATTTGGATGAGCGGGTCTTCTGAGGAGTCAGTTACCCTCAGCTCCTTTTCCTGACAAGCCATTCTCAGAAATAAGCCTGCACTGAGAAGCAAGCACCCACCTCTATGCCTGCACTCTCAGATTCAGAGTGTGGGGGCTGAGTCTGCCCCCACACCCTCCACAGGATTTCTCAGTGGGGGCCAGCAAGGGCACTCTGGGGGTACAGGCGGGAGAAACGACCCAGAGTCCAGATGGGGAACACGTTCCTGTAGGATGTGTAGCTGATGGCACAGGACTTGTTGAAGACCCCAGCAATATTTTCCTGGAAGGACACAGAAGTAAGCACAGAGTTCAGGCAGAGGATCCACAGCCCACAGACCAGGTAAGCTCAGTGGAAAAGATGTCCCCTGCCCAGCATTGGGCATGGGGCCATCAGCTGGCCCTCCCCTGTAGGCAAACTTTCAACCTAGCCACCAGCCCCTCATAGCCACTGGCCTCCCCCACCCCAGGCATTTATAATTGCCAGCCTTCCTAGTCTTGGGCCCCTTTAACAGAAGTAGCGAAAGTAGCCGGTCTTAGTAACCTCACAACCCCCACATCACAGCTCACCAGAGGCTGTCTCCTGTGCCTCTGATTACCAAGGCAATGGGGAAGACAGGGCAAGGAGCTGTGCAGGCTGGCTGAGGGTTCTCCCACCTACCCGTCCCCATGCCAAGGCAAGCCACCATCACATGCTACTCTAGTCCAGACTGCAGCCAGCAGGGTCAGTTCATCAAGTGCCCAGAACAGCCCACCCCATACCGCACAGAGGGCAGATGCACAGTGGGATAGGCAAGGGGAACAGATACGCTCTCATCCCCAGGAGATCCAGGCATACCTGTGGCCAGTCACCATTGGGAAGCTGTTTTTCAACCAGACGCTGGACTCCCCTCTCCAGGGCCTCGACATTGGGGTGCCTGGAGATAAGATAATCAGGGCCACAGGTCAGCTGTGGGGGAGCCCATCCATGCAGATCACGCCCTGGAGCTTATGTAGCAAGGCACAGGTGGGCACTGGCATAGTGATGAGTGGACAGAAGCACATATGCAGTGCCAGTCTCACTTGGGACAACCACCCACATGGGCTCTCACTTCATATTTTCTTCCCAGAAACTCTGGCCGTGGAGAAGAGGCACATGAGGTGATCTGCCAGGGCAGACATGGCTCCTAGGTGGTGCAAAGCCTTCTGCTGCCACCTTTAGTCCCGCCCCACAGCCCCTGACTCAAGTGGCTACCATTCTGCCTCCAGGAGAGTAAGAGCACAGGCCTTGAGCACATCAGGGCCTCACCACCTGCAAGGGACTGAGCTCCATCCCCAAACCATCCCTTTACAACACCCATCAGATGCAGCTACTGCATCTGCTGCTCACACCAACCTAGCCAGGACTGGAGGGAGTTTGAGGAAGATCCTTCAAATGACCCCAAATCTGATACAGGAGCACAGACAGGGACTTAGAGTGACCCCACATGTGGGCATGTATGTGTTCGTGCATGTATGTGCATGTGCACCACTGTGCATGTGTGTATATGTGTATTTGTGTGCAAGTGTCTACATGTGCATATGTGCATCTGTGAATGTCTATGCAAGTGGTGTGTATTCATCTATGTAAACATGTCTGTGTATACTGCTGTGCATGTATGTGTATGAATATGTCTGTGTGCATGCACATGTAAGACTTAGCACCAGGGTCGCTATGAGTCAGATCCAACTCGACAGTAGTGTGTGCGTATGTGCATAGGAAGAAGTTGCTGAGCACTGCGAAACTTCAGAGGCCTGATCTTGCCACAGTCACTGCCAACCCAAGCATGTGGACCCTGCCCACAGCCTCATCTTATATGATCCACATCAGGCTTCCCTTGCTCAGCTGTCATGTCATGTGACCATTTCTAAAAGGTGAATCTCACTGCAAAGGTTGATCCCCAGGACCTCTGCTCTTTAGCCCCCCACCTAGTCCAGCCCCATGCCCACCTGACAGACATTAGCCCCATCAGGGCCCAGCATGTGCTGTGGATTTGGGACTGGGCACTCTGCACATAGCGCCGCTGCACACAGGACTCAAAGTCCTCGCCCCAGCCGCCGTCTTCCATCTGCTTGGACAGCAGGAAGTCACAGGCTCGGGTGACTTCCATGCAGGCTGCCCTGCCGGGACCAGAGGGACACAAGCATATCATGGGGGTCCCACCCTAGTCAGTCCACCCAGGGCCTGCTCTCCAGACCCACCCCTGCCACACAAGGGTGACTCCTGATGTGAAGTAGGGCAGTGACACTCCTGGGGCTGTTGAGGAAATCAAGTGAGACACTCTCTGGGCTCAAACAACTCTTGATGGGATGGGCTACGGTCAGTCAACAGTGGGCAATGCTGAAAAGAGGACCCAGGAGTACTGAGGATGCTGGCCCAGCAGGAGGGACCCCAGACTCTGACCCTGTCCCCTGTGGAGGGTGAGCCAGGCATGGATGGGGAGGTAGCAGGGCCAGAAGCTTCCTCCACCAAGTAATCTCTCAGCTCAGCCTCTTTAATGCAGATCAATGCTGTCAGCTTATAAACAAGGAAAACATACTGATCATAGTCTCATAACCATATGTTTAGTGGAACACTGACCTTAGCTTACTGTTTAAAAACTTAAAAACTCCTCCAAAGCAAACATCAAAGGATGAAACACTTTTGCTGGAGTGTCCTACTGCAAGCACCCACTGCCCAGTTCCTTGTGTTGCTTCTGAGAACTAGGAAGCCGACCTCCCCACTCCAGTGATCTTTTGGTGCTTCTCATAATCACTTACCCATCCTGGTATAGATGCCCCATGCAGGCAAATGCTTCCAGCCCAAACCATATGCCATATGTAAAGCAGACACCCCAGGAGCTGGATAGAGGAAAGAAAAAGATTCTGCCAGCTTGTCAGGGTGCCTCCACGTAAGAGGGGGGTAACTAGTTTCAGCAAGCAGCACTCACTTACAAGCCCAGGTTTCAAGGCCATTGAAAATGAAACCACCTAGTCTAGCCCTTGGGGTTGGCTATATCTGTGAAACCACCAGCCATACACAAATAAGAATAGCCAGAATGAAAGGAGGAAAGAGGTGGTGACTTCAGAGCCACATGTATGGTATTAGGGCAACAAAGGCATCCATCATGTGCAGCAGAGCCACTTCCAGCCGCACATGGAGGAGATATACAGCAGAACCACTTCTAGCCACATGTGGAACAGCTTCAGTCAAGGCTCCAATTCACAAAGGAGTGGTCAACTCTGGCTGGCACTTGTTTCCAGAAGCATTCCTTGCCTGAAGGCAGCATGTGAGGCAGAACTGCTGGATCCCTGGCTCACTCACCCTTCCCAGGAGCCATCAGCCCTCTGTACCCGCCGACAGTACTCCAAGCCCTGCTCGAGGGTCTCCCTGGAATACAGAAGATTTGCCCATGAACATGGCAGCAAAGTAGCAATATACCTCTCCCAATTCTACTCAATGCATAATCTCAAAAGAATGATTGTGGTTTCCCTTTAAAAATAAGTAAAATAAAATAGTTCAGACAAGATGTAAGAGTTCAAAAAGAAGCAATTACAGGAGTTGAGTTCAAGAAAGAAACAGATAAGAAAATAAGACTTTGGAGATGAACCCACATTAGCAGCAGCTATAGGCAGATCATATCACTAAAAACAACACGAATGACAAAGGCTTGAGTAGATCATATAAAATAAATAAGGAAAGAGAAAAATCCATTAGAGAGCAAGTGATAGATTTAGAAGACTGTCCAGAAACAAACCAACACACAACGGGTCAAGTGATTTTTGACAAGAGTGGTAAGTCCATTAAATAGGAAAGAACAATGTCTTCAATATACAGTGTTGGGAAAATTGGATTTCTACATGCAGAAAAACAAAGCAGTATCCACGCCTAACATTATACACAAAAATAAGTTTAAAAATGGATTAAGGACTTAAATACACAAAGTAAAAACATAAAATTCTTATTAGAAAATACAGAGGCAATGCTGTTGGGCCTAGTTTTAACAATGGATTACTAAACATAGTAACAAAGCATAGCAAAACATAAAAATAGATGAATGGACTGCATAAATACTAAAATCTTTTGTTCATCAAAGAACTTTACCAAAACAGTGAAAAGACAAGCTACCAACAGGAGAATACCTTCAGAAACTATGTATCTGATCAAAATCTACTAACAAAAATATATATAATATTTTGACAATGTAGTAACAAAAAGACAACCCAATTATAAAATAGGCAAAGGACTTGAATAGACATTTCACAAAAGACATTAAAATGACCACCACACACTGAAAAAAATGCCCAGCATCGTTAGCTTTTGGAGAGAAGTAAATAAAAATCAATACGACGTACCATTTCACTCCCACTAGGATGGCTAAGATTAAAAAAATAATAACAACAACAGAAATTGACAAATGTTGGCAAGGACATGGGAAAACTGTCCTATCTATTGCTGGTGGGAATCCAAAATGGTATAGTGTGGCAGTTCCTAAAAAAAAACTAAAAGTGTAACTACCATAAGACTCAGCAATTTCACTACTAGGTACACATGCAGAAGAACTGAAAGCACAGATTCAGAGACATCTGTAAACCAATGTTCATTGCCGCACTATTCACAATAGCTAAAAGGTGCAAACAACCTAAATGCCCATCAACAGATGAATGGATAAACAAAAATAAATACAATGAAATACTACTGAGCCAGTAAGAAAAACCAAGTCTTGATACATGCTACAATATGGATGAAGCTTGAAGACATTATGCTAACTGAAGTAAGTCAATCACAAAAGGACAAATATTATATGACCTCACTCATATAAAAAGACAGTAACACATAATATATAGAGAGCCCAAAGTTTCTTAGCAGTTACCAGGGGTAGAAGGGAGAAGGAAAGGGAGATTATTGCTTATGGAGTACTGAGTTCAGTGTACGGGATGGATAAACTGCACTAAGGGTAGAGTCACACAGCTGATTAATGTAATTGCTGTCAGTAAATTGTACACCTGTAAAAAACTGAATGGTATCTTTGTTGGTTACCAAGGGTAAGTGGAGGGAACACTGCCCAAAGGAAAAAAAAAAAAAAATGCATTGACCCATGTCACTTTAGTTTTATGTATTTCACTGTACATAAATCATATTTCAACAAAATGTATTTAAAACAAAAACTAAATAGCACAAGTTATGTGATAGATATATTGACAACAACAACAACAACAAAGAGTAGCTGCTGAGACTACTTATGTACATCCAAACACCTCATGGGATTTGGTTGCTTGGTTTGGAAGTTTAGGGTCACGGTTTCATGGGACATCTCAGTTAGCTGGCCTAATAACACATTTTCTGTTTCACCTCTTAGTTTGTTGCATAACACCTAGGGTTTTAAAAGCTCACAAGTGGCCATTCAAGGTCAACAATTGGTCACTATTCACAATTGGTCACTACTCACCTGGACCAACAGAGGAAAAAGGAGAATCATAAGCAAGATGATATGGAATGTATGGCTAATTGCCTCCATGAACAACTGCCTCCTTTGCCATGAGAACAGAAGAACTGAATGGTGCCCATTACTGAACATTTTGATCAAAGACTCTATGTTAGTTCAGTTTGTGTGTCTACTTGGCTGGGCTTGGTTGAGTGATTGGACAGCTGGATGTAGTATTCCCCATGACGAGACTGGTAATCAACTCCATGGTGGAATCTACTGAGAGCAGCTGAGTACCTGCCTTTGGGTATGTGGTCTACTTCCCATATATAAGAAACAGCTTTGGGAATGGTCTCTAGCTATGGCATGCTTGGACACTGCATGTAGCTGTGTCGTTGTTCAGCAGCCTGCCATGCTCTGCCAACCTTGGGACTTACAATGGACTTAAATTAATTGCCGGCTGTGTGGTTTGGTAACATCGGGACTGTGTCATTTTATTTGTCAACCTTGGGCTTCTCAGCCTCAGCAGCCAGCAGCTATCTGAGTGAAGAAAACACCTCTAGCTTTAGTGGGGCAAGAGCTGGAGGCAGAGCTGAAGCCCAAGGCTGAGGGGCTTTCACCCAGCCCCTAGAATCTGGCACTCTGAACTTGGACTTAAAGCCTCCAAATTGTAAGAATAAACTCCTGTTTGTTAAGGCCATTCCATTTGTGGTATATTCCTGTCAGAGTAGCACTACGTAACCAAAACAGACTCTATAGAAAAATTCTGATCAAAAAGGAAAAAATGCATAACAGAATTTCAAATTCTCATGGAACCCACTTTCTGGAGGTTGGAGGCTGGATGAACCCCTGAAACTACTGTCCTAAGACAATCTTTAAATCTTAAACCTTAAACCAAAAATATCTCCTAAAGTCTTTTCAAAACCGAGAAAACAGTTTGACTTAACTAGTAAAGATGTCTTCTTTTAGCATTGTGCTCTTTTGAAATCTATCTATATGAGATTAAATGGGCAAAAGCAACTCAAAAGATTAGATAGGAAACTTAGGGGACAATGAGTTTATGTTAATAGGGGAAGAAGAACTCATAAAAGGAAGGTGAGAATGACTATACAACTCAAAAATGTAATCAATGTCACTGAATTGTACATATAGATATTGTTGAACTGGTGAATGTTCTGCTGAATATATGCTCAATGGAAACTGTGTTGGATTGGGTTCTCTAGAGAAACACAAAAACCAGCAAAGTGTATATATATATTTATAGAGAGAGAAAGAGAGAGAGAGAGAAATTTATCTTAGATAAATGG